GTAAATTCGGCGCTGCATCTGGGTATTAAAATACCTATGCTCAAGGCAAGTTTCAGGATATTTTTATTAGAGGAATTTTCATGGAGCTCCAAAAATTTCGGCTTTACCAGGTCCGGCCGATGATACAAGACGAATATTCGCAGCTTTAAAAGGTCTGTATTTTGCAATTAGGAAGTAAAATTTCTGACTCAGCTAAAAAACGATCTACCATTAGTCCCAATACGCACATGCGTGCTTTTACCGATGAGCCAGACATTTCAGTTCCTCATTGCGAAATCCAGTCTAACTTTGCTACTATTGTTGAAAAAACTGCACTCTCAGATCGAAGGCTGCCCTGAAAATCGTTATTATGAACTAATGGGAGTTCCCTCTTTTTACGGATGTCGGTGTCAGGCAGTTTTAGGGTACACAGTTGCCGCGAAAAAAGACAGTCACATCCAGGCTCACGAATCACGTGGTGACGAACCTTTCACGAAACGAGTCTGTGCTCGGCCACCGAAGAAGCTTCATCGACTAACTCGATCGAGCGACACTGTCGAAGACTATGACGTCAACGGCGAAAGAGTGAACCATCTGTTTTTGGCAGAGAGGGACGAAAAGCAAGAAGAGGTTCACGATGTCGTGCAAGAAGCCGATACTGAAATGATTAAGCAGCGATCCCGTGAGTTCTTCCTTTCCCAGTTATTAAGGGTTGAACCTACATGATGATAAATTGATGACCTTTCAAGATACTTTGATGACGGNTGACGGGGAGGGGGGGGGAGAACATACGTATGCTGTTCTTCAACATGTCTTTGTCATCTAAGGCTGGAGAAGACGAGAGAACAAATTAAGTCCCTCTCTCTGATAGGTGCATTTTGCGGAACATCGCGAATTCACAGCTCGCGCCATCGCGCCTTCAATTTTGGAGATGCAACACAGACATCCATCAAGCACGAATAGTTGTATCTCTGCGCCGTCTTTCCATTTGCTCTATTTCTATATTAACGGTGCAAGTCGGCAATCACATAACTCGGAAAACGCGATTTTTCAGGAGAGGGAAAAAACTCTCTACATTCCTCATCATTGAAGGTAGAGGGGAAATAATTCTTAGAGACAGGAAGGATAAGATGCTTTATAAGACTCTATCATCATTTTGAATAATATTCTCGTCTGTCAGGAGAAATGACCGAAAAACCGAGATATGTGTTTGTGGAAGTAAGGTCCAACACTGAATTCCGAGATACGTGATTGGCGAATTACTGCTTCAAACCTATTCTTTGCCGATGTTGACTGAATAAAGACTGAATAAGACTCCTCTCACTTTAAAAGTAGCCTAAAGTTCCTTTTAACAAACTTTAATTGGTAGCGAATCTTTAGAATGACACTGGAAAACGATTCGACGGCGTATGTCGGCAATCACATAACTCGGTTTACGATGTCGCAGACTTCCTGTCCTGTCACACTTCATTTTTTAAACGGAAAACTACTCAACGGCAATTCTTTAAAACTGCCGTGAGTTTTCTTCTCTATGCGAAGAAAATTCTGTATAAACTGCAAGGAATGATGTCAAATGTGTTGTAGAAGCGGAGATTTTCAGACACCGTGAACGAGATAATAATTATGTGATTGCGGACTTCACGCCGTCGAATTACGAATTAAAATGAAATGAAGATAAAAATAAGCGGACGATTACTCAGTTATCCGTCGGATTAGATGTTATATGTCAAAATAATAATAACATTTTTGTTGTTTGAAGATTCCGTGACGAGCTAACTTTTAATTTTCCCTCCTGAACTGCTCACGGTTCTTCCCGGGAGAGCGCGCGTTGTGTAAAAATGCGGCGCGACGGCACGAGTTATGTGTTATTGGAATTAACGCCAAGATATGTGTTTTGAGTTCTACGTTTTTAGGTGACTTCCAGATTTTTTTCGGCTGAAGTATTTTGATAGCAGGTAAAGGGCATCTTCTACACTTCATTTCTGCAGCTAACTCAAAACCGCCAAAAATCGAGTTATGCGATTGCCGACTTTCACCGTCGATATTGTATTAGTTGCGTTTGTCTCATTTCTAGTGGTGCTTCAAGGGCTACGTGAGCGACACAGCCGAAAATAGGCATATTCTGAGAAACATTTGCTTCCAAGTTCCAATTTTTAAGCACCAAAAAGTCAGTCTGAAATTTCTTTCCGTCTTAAGGATCCATGTACTTTCGAAACTTCAAGCACGTATTTCTCGAAATAGCAAAAACTGCACTTATGCGCCTTGTCCTCTAAGCCCCTCATTTGTCCTTCTGACGATGATATAGTTTGAACAATTGAACGCTCGAAAAAATAATCAGAGCGTGAATGCTGTTGTTCAATTTCCAAGAGATGAATAACGAAGGGTTGAAAGAAAGTGTTTCCACCGTTGTTGTAAATGATGCCTATCACTTTTTAATCGGTACTCGAAGATTTCTTTCTCTGGATTCTAAATTATACCTAATTTTATTTTGCAAAGGATGCGGTTTACCGCTCGGCGTCGAAGCAAAAGTCGTTGACGAGAGGTGTTTCAATATAAGTTGGTACGCAGAGACCCCGCAAAGAGTCCCAATCAAATATTTCATGTTGGAGTATGATCAGGCGAAAAGAGAGAACGAGACGGTGATCCAGTGTCGGCAGTGGGTCGAATCCGAGAGCAACATCAAAAACAAGACTCACTCCTTTCATACTCATCTCATAACTGCATTGACTAACGGTCATTTTTACCAGTTAGTATCAGTTCCTTCAACTACATACTAAACATTTAGAAAAATTAAAATTAAATACGTGTAACGGTGCATTCCACAGTGCGATGAAAAGCATTGATGAATTTGCATTCCTACACATTTTCGGGTTTGACCCCATTATTGACGGATTCTTTAGGATTTTTAGAGGTGGATTTGAGGTTAATTCGACAAAATTTTAAAATAACATCTGAATTTTGAATACGGCCAAAATAATTGAATATTTTCAAAAGTTCCAATAAAGATCCATTTTATTAGACTTCAGCTATCGAATTATTCGATGAAGCAATCCAAAACTTCAATTTCTGGTCGTATATGTATATCACGAAATAGTTTTTCCGTTTTTCAAATTGATTTTCTGAAGGAATTAATGTCAATTGAGAGCTAAATTACGTGTTGTTTGACGACTCCCATTGGTGACTTTATCGCGACAATTATTATCAAATAAACCTTGAAGGACACATTGCAGATTAAATTGAACAAAATATAGTTACATGTTATATTGAATAAAATTGAAAATTCATTAAATTGAATGAAATATATTTTCTAACACGCGATGAGTAATTTGAGTTCTATACACTGCAAAGGTCATTAACTTCGTGTTGTTTTTTAGGTTTCGCGTAGTGTCCCACTGCAACGACGACATGACCAGCGCTTCGCCCAAAACTGCGTGGATATACATGCCCGGCGACGGCGGTGCATTGCGGGTAACCCACCCTCCCGGCTTTACTCCTCCGCCGTTTCCTGCGCATTGGTAGCTGATTCCTAATAATATTATTGGATACCTTGATCTCGCTGCTTAGCAACTGTCATATAATTTAGCTAAAACCAAACTAAAAACTGTGAATGAAGTTATAAATAAAATATATTGCTTTGTAAAATTTCAAAATTTTGCGTTTCCCTACACATTCACATCACTAACCTGAAACCTCATCCTGTACTACATTCCCCACCTACAGGGTTAGAAAATGTGGTTATCGAGGGAAAAGGGAGGGGGCAATTTTATTTATATAAATGTAAGAAATGATGAGCGTTTATTATACCGCATAACAATTTTTAGGTCATGTCTTGTGCTTTTGTCCCTCCAACCTACATATTTTTTACGATACCTAGAAAAAGTCCGATATGCCAAAAAAAAAGTTCGAGAATGCCTGATCAGGTCTTTGCGAATATATCACGAACGGTTTATCTAAAGAAAAAAAAGAAAAAAAAGAAAAAACGAATAAACAGAAGAAAAGATGATAAAATTTCCTACCGATTGTTAGGATATAATTTTGACTGCAATGGATGCTGAACAGAATAAAATTCCAACTACAAGTTTTTCAAAGCACGATTGTCATAGAGTCATTTTTCGATTCTAGATTAACTGATAACTAACGATTGTTTTATTATACGATTGTGTCAAAGGAATATCAATCATTGACGGGGTGTGTTTCTAAGTAAAGTTTTATGCTCGATAAACATTAACATGTTCCTCAGTGAGTTTTCATTCAATGTTGGATCGATCTGTGTCGTTGCATTATTAGTTCATGTGCGTATTCTTGGAAGCAATATAAGTATAATGATAAGCAGAATGGTACATAAATGCTCACACTCTTTCACTCTTTTCAAGTGAAGAGTAAACCCCCCAAAAGTCCTCAAATTAAGTAAGGATTCCAAAATGAAATCTGCATGGGCTGAATGTTTTTCTTTCAGTTATGTGCCTACATATTTTAGCCACTCTCTTTAATTCTGGAATTCTAATTCACTTTGTGTACTATTCGCAGCTTTCTTCCTCGGAATAGTGTGGATCCGGTATTATTTTACCACCTTTTTCAACTGTTTTTGGTTCATAATTCTCGTGCATATTTTTCTTTTCTGCCCCTTTTTCTTCTTCTAACTTCCTATTTGTTTTTACTTTAACAGTGAATCAATAAAATTCTCATACGGGTAAGACACTCAAAACCGTAAGAGCGGTCTTGGGTGTCAATGGTGAATATTTGAGTACCTTTAAGGGAGAGTATGGCAACTGCAGTTACTACCTCTGATTGGCTCAGCCATCATAGACTGAATGGAGTCTTCTAGGGCCTTGGCTTAAAAACGGTGGACGCTGCATGTAAGTGAATGTAAATAAAAAATGACTCACAATGTAGTTTTACTTACCTATCACAACGAGAACTTTCCTCAAATGCATTATTACGGAGTATTTTTATAGTTTTACGGCCAATCGTGTGCTATTTTTGAGAAAAATCATATCGAAACCATGGTTGGCAGCAAGTGCGGTTGGTATAACCAAGTGATAACCCCAAAAACCAAAACAAAGCACCGCCATTTTTGGGCCCTAAGCTATGCACCACCATGGGGCCAAATGGTCATACCCTCCCTAAAAAGGTACTCTAGTGAATATAATTTTGTAAAATAACTTGGAGCAAATATTAATATAGTTGATAAGCGGAAAGGCAGTTGGAAGGGGCAACGATGATTACAAGGCAGAGGAAGAACATATTCCTTTAAATTGTCGGCTGAATGTGAAGAAAAGTACTGTATCTATGAGGGGACTGCAATGCAGGTTTGCAGACACAAGTCTTCGGCGGCGAAGCGACTCCCGAAATCGTAAGTAATCACATGCATTTCGGCGCAGATTTTCACCAACTGAATTTAAGAGTGTAAAAATGGTACCCCTCCAGATAGAAAGGAAACCATTGTGGGCCAACGTTCAATGATCGGATTTGACCTAAAATAAGTTTTGCTTGAATTTAGCTATGTCTTAAGTTAATTTGTAGAACTATCTTGTGGCAAAGCTTGACTAATTCATATTTTATTGCCACAGAAATGGTACACATTGGAATATTCCTACGGAAATCAATCTAAGAGTACGAGAATAAGAGAGTTTGAGGGTAAGAGATCTTTATAAACATAGTGTAATGGATGATCGAATGGCGTTTCTTTTTTAGAGCTGAGACATTTGCTGACAGATCCTGAAAATATGACACACGACAAGAGAGAGGAAGAAGGAGAAGAAAGTCATACCGAGATGTGCTATGGGAATGAGAAGGAGGAGAATAACAAGTTGGACGAAAATTCTCCTACGTTAGATCCAAGTAAGAAAAAAATATCATGATAAAAATTTAGAAAAAAAAGTATTTTCTTATCTTCTTAACGATTCAACTTTGCTACTTTTTTAAATCTATGGGTACAATAAAAAATGTTGATCTCCGTTTGCGACGTTGCAAATTTCCGTTCTTGCTTTATTTTTCAAAAAACGCAAAATCAACAATTCTTTGAGAATTTTCTTCAGCCTTTTCACGAAAATTATCAAAATTTCATGATAATACTTCTGTTAATTTCACCACCATCAAAATAAAAAATAAAAAAATAAATAATAAATACAATAATAAAAAATAAGAACATGACAACAACTGAAACACAATTGAAGATTATGGAACTTTGTAATGCAGGTACCCATTTCCGAATTTAGCCAGCGTTCTATGTACGCGCGTTTCTGATATGCACATCCCTCTTAATTTTTGCAGGATGCTCAATGCTCTGTTCTAAATATTCGACGGCGTAAGTCGGCAATCACATATCTCGTTTGCGCTGTCTGAAAATGTTCGCCTCCATGTTATTTTTTTTAAAGGACAACAAACTGACATCATTCCTTGAAGTTTATGCAGCATTTTCTTCGCACAGAGAAGAAAAACCACGGTAGTTTAAAGGAATTGCCGTTGAGTAGTTTTCTGTTTAAAAAATAAAGTATGACAGGAAGTCTGCGACGTCGCAAACCGAGTTATGTGATTGCCGACTTACACCGTCAATGTACTTCCTTACAGCAAACCGTGACTGTCATTGAAAGCAGAAAATCAGTCAAAGCCCCAACTTTGAAAGGAGACGCATAATAATTTCTTATTTGACTACTTGAATGACCTAACCGTGAACCTACCTATTATTTTTGTTGTGAGATGTTATTTCTTTACTTAGATTTGGTGCCCCCTTCAGTACCGGAAATGAAGATTAAGACTAATAATTCCATTCTGGTCTCATGGCGTGCTCCGGTGCGGAAAAAATATCCGATTGATTACTTCCTTGTAGAATTTTACCGATACAAAGGCCGGGAGTTCTGTTCTAAGGGCTGTGCGTGCGTCAATAATGAGCCAAAAAGTAACTCGTCGAGCGAATCTTATCACGAGGAGCTGATCGATTGTCTTGAGCCAAATTTTGACTACAAGTAAGTAAGAACGTGCGTATAACCGAGAAGAATTGTAATTTGAATTCGTTCAGTTGGACGAATAAATGCTGAAAAGAACTGTGTGGAAATGAATCATATCAAAAGGAATTACGTTGCATACAAATCCTAGGCACATACTGCGGTGCTAAGGAAGAACACCGTATGAACATTCGAAAGTTGCCAATTTCCATCGATAAAATGTTCATTTTTTAGGAAGGTTAAAAATATTTTCCCTTGAAATTTTTAAGACTTTTCGGGGAAATGGCGAGCCAAATTATCTGAAAAATTGGAAGAAAAATATTCACAAGATTACCAGGAATTTCGTGTTTTATCAATTAAGGAAATTTGGCAACGCCTGAAAGTTCACACGGCGTTCTTCCTCAGCACGGTAGCATAGCTCCTTTTGCTTTAATTGATTTTAACCTCCTTCAATTTTGCACCAATACTTCCAATTTCATTTCCCTATCCCTATGCAGGAGTTAACAAGCACTGTTGCATCGCTCGCGCCCCACCGACTTTGATGCAGAAATATCAGTAATCATGCGGCTCTCAATAAGCTTTTTTGCATGACATCTTTTGTGAACATTCAGGTGAGAGTAAGCGCAAACCACAAAATAAAGGTGAGAAACTTGATCAATTTTATCCATGCATGAGTCTTGATCATTAGAATCGATTTTGCGTCTCTCGGAATTCAGCTGCAATGATATTCGTTTGCTACATATCAATGGCGAAAAAAAAGAAAAACATCTTAATATTATGCACCGCACTATAGGCTTAAAGTGCATAATGTATGTACAGCTGATATTGTACACTTCATGATGTAAAGTACAGAGCCGGATTTACCTACTTGCCGCCCCCTTCTCATTCGTTTTGAAACATCAATTAAAACCATCAAATGAACGTGCCAGCAAGGGAGGGGTGCATAAGACGCGTTTACTTGTGTTGATCACATTTTTGGGGAAAGCCCTGTCAACACTACTAGTAAAAGTTCACGGAACTTTGCGCAAAAGTTAAGTCTCGTAAACATATCTCTGCGTGGACAAGGTCTTCCATTCATATGAAATGAACGAAAAAAATATGAAAGAACAAACATAAATGTGGATAATGAATTTAACTTCCGCCGCTGCGCCGCTCAGACCGCACCGTGTTTGGCGCAATGCGTGAAGTATTCCGACAGTCTTGTAGGCGCTATGAGTTTCACGCCAACCGCTGCTGAACGCACTGTGTTTGACGCAATGCGTGAAGTATTCACGAAGTCTTGTAGGCGCTATGCGTTTCACGCTGATCGCACTGAATTTGCCGCAATGCGTGAAGTATTTGTACAGTCATGTAGGGGCTAATATGTGTTACATGCCGATCGCCGCGCCGAGGGCTTCTTCTTTTCATCTCAGTCCTCGTCATCGTTTCTCTCTAAGTCGCGCCGTTCCAGGCCGATTTGCGTGTTTGTTTTCTCTCATAACTCGACTAATTAAAGGCGCTGTCTTTTGTATCACTGAAAGACGACAAAAGTAGAAATTACTATACTCTCAAAAAAATAGAGATTTTGTCGCCTTTTCTCGTTTGTAATTAATTTCTCTTAAATTCGAATTTTCCATACCCGCATTTAAGAAACATTCAAAATCTGCCGCCTCCTATAGATTTGCCGCCATGGGCCGCGGCCTATGTGGCCAACCCCTTAATCCGGCCCTGGTAAAGTATAATTTAAGAGTAATAAACCGAAGGAAACATGGAGAAGAAAAAGTTTAGCGAGTATAGGTCGGTAAGTTATTTTCAGTGAAATTAAATGTTGCAGAGGAAAATTGGTTATATCACGAATCCAGTAAGGGATTTGTTACTACCTGTGGATTCTGGTTTTTAAAATAACTTTTATAACTCACCTCAGAACATTGTCGATCTAATCCTCGATTTTGACATTTTTAGGTTCAGAATCTTCACAATATATTGGACCGGCGACTTTATTCCGAGCAAATTTTGTGAGCCCATAAAACTTGTGGAGCCCAGCTAAATTTTGGTACATTTTGTCCACCAGGTTCCGAGTTGCGGCCTCCTACCCCAAGCATAATCACTCTTGGGGCTGGTGGAGCAAGAAAATAAACCTACCCAATGATTCTGAAGGAGAGGACACTTTAAATCATGAATGAAATTTTTCCTGCTCAACGGAAAGACGACGACTTAAAAATATTACTAATTTAAGAATCTTGGTGTGTCTAGAGAGCACCGTTTTACTTTTGTGTGCGTAATAAAAAAGACTGTGATTTTTTAAATTATGATTGAAAATTGTACGTAATTAAGTAATAAAATTGAGTGATTTTAAGAAGCTATTCAATTCTTTTTACACAAAAGTCGATCCTACAGCGTGCTCTGGCGTTCTGCGACACCCAATCGCCACATGTGCCCATCATCCCAAAGGTTATTGGGCAGCTGACAACGCAACATCTCTTCGTCAACGTCCTGTCGCCATCCCTTCTTAGAATGTCCCGGTTCTCTTTCAGTTATTTATGCAACTTTTAGAATGAATTAAGTTCAGCAGAAATATATTTTTACAGATCTATCAAGTACACATAATTCTTTCTATCGTAGAACATAGGCGGAAATAGGAAATTTTTGTGGAGGCTAGAGGGTCACCTTAATAAGAGTAGTCCAAAGGGGCACTAAAAGGCACATCACCAAGGGGGATCAGCAAGCTCTCCTAATTTTAAAGGAGGATCCCGGGGATTTTCCTAGCTCTAAAGGGGAATTTCGGGAGCCTCCCTAGGGAGATTATAAGAATTTGAGTCGTCCTAGGAGGAATTCTAAGCCGTTCTTCCCGAAAAATTGATCAAATTCCAAAGTCAAAGATGAGAAATCTTGAAAATCTCCTCGGTCCCTTCCAATAAATGTAAAGAAAATCATGATTTTATCTGTAACGTATTTACGTCTAAAATACTTTACATTTCTTGGAAGGGACCGAGGACATTTTGGGAGGGGAGCTGTCCCCCTCAGTCCCACTCGTTTGGGAAAGATTTATACAACGAATACTCTCCAATTAAGAGGCCAGGCATGAGACGAGAAGTATTATTGAAAACTTGTCATGGTGATAAGTTGCTATCAAACATTAAAACGTAAGCATTCATGAGATAAATGAATAAGGCTTTCAGTGGTGTTCTGTACTCAGGCAGTATGATGAGTTTGTTTACAAAATGTCTAACTACAGGGTGTGAAGTGAGGTGGCTACTCATTTTAATTTTTCTCATACATATTGTAAGTTTTATCTAAGCATCCAAAATCTCTCACAATAGTTAATCGTACAATGTTATCCTGAAGTTTCGTATGCTCACCACATATTTGGCAATTGAGCTAAATAGGGTGCTTCTAGATCAAAGGGAATTTGTTTTCCTCCAAAAATTTTGGAGGAGTTCCTCTGAGGAGGGCACGAATTTTAAAAAAGCAACTCCTTCTTCTTGATCTATTAATGTATCATTGAAAAAGGCGTGAAAAAAAAAGTTCTTGGGAGGTCCCTATCAATCACTGCTTCAAAACTGTGGTGGATTAAAGTTCAAAATGCCCGAACATAATCCTAGATGGTGGCCTAATTTTAGAATCGGAAATAATAATTTTCCGTCATTGTCTGGCCGTCATTTAAAAAGAAACTATAAGACTTAAGGCACTTACAAACTTCCGTATTAGTTGGTTCTAGGATATTCAGTTTCTAATGCTGCCTCGAGATCAGAGGGACACTTTGGCACTCAAAGTAAGAAACCTTTCGCGCAACGAGTGTGCGTTCGACCACCAAAAAGGCTCAATAGGTTGACTCAACCGGAGGATTTTGTTGCGGGCTACAGCGTTTATGCCAGTAGAGCAAATCATCTACTGTTGGCTGAGGAGGAGTATGATAAGCACGATGAAGACTATGAGGGTTATGAGGTCAGGGAAGGCGTTGAGACTGATTTAGACAAGCAGTTCCCAGGTAAGTCTGTAAACTGCATGCTGAAGATTGAATTTTAAAAAGGAAGACCAGAGAAAAAACGGAACTTTACTATGCTGTTTTGTTTATGGCAAATGAAACCTGTTATTTTTCGAGGTTCCGTCATTCAACCCTCTTGAATTGACATATTTATGCCGAAAAGAACTCGTACAAATAAATGAAATAAAAAAGAACCTTGAAACTTGCAAATCCTGGTTCTTTTTTTCTTCTGCTGCCCATAATTTAATTAAGTCCAAAACGTCTAACAATAAGCCTGCTTAGTGTCTGCTGGGCAAAGTGCTGAGCAATTTGCGTCATTATCAAAATAGTTTGATAATATCGATGGGAACCTGCACGGAACGTGCTAGATGGTCCTTGGGCAGGATGAGTGGAAGGACTGAAATAATTGGTACTTATTCATGAAGAATTGACTCAAACTGCATAAAAGATGCTTTAAAATGTCGAAAATTTGCTGGTGAAGCCTCCCAAACCTCTTGTGCACCCCCCTCCCCCCGTCCGGGATGTCTGGATCCGCCTATGTTCATGAAAATAAGAGAGAAAATCCAGAATTTCTAGTGTATCCCTTATCATTTGCCTCTAATCGTGATGCGAAGATTGAGGTGAGTCTATTTGTCTCCACTCTCCACGTGCGAGGAAGATATATACAAATATATACATCAAAAAATTACTTGTAATCTTGTCTAAGTTTTTTTTCATCTGGATCGTAAAGCCTTTGAAGAATCCCAACTCATGTGAAACGGTTTTCTAATTAATACTGCATTGAATTTAGCAATGAAAAGGTTATATCAGAAAATTAATGACATCATTGATGTAGTTCTTGAGACTTATTTATGGTTGGATAGTCTGGAACAGTTCCTGGCCACCCTTGAGGTTTTACAAGAGTACATTTCCGTGTGTGTCGGTTTTTTATTGAACGTACCAAGTTGTTCTTTTTTTCTAATATCTACGAAACATAACATTACATAAAATTTTATCGCTCACAGGTTGCGGTCCACCTGTCGGAGTGGAAGCAAAAGTGGTCAACGAAACGTCGTTCAACGTTA